AGACATCTGTAGAGCTGCGGGCTGGGTGACACCCAACACATTTGCAAGGTTTTACAATCTGCGAGTGGAGCCGGTTTCCTCAAGGGTATTAGGTAACCCTTGGTGATTGAGGAAACAATTCGGTAGGGTGTTGAAACACGCTTGCTGCGCCATTTTCCCTAACACGGAGATACGTGCGCCTTTTTATCTGTCAGTAAGTTCCCCGTCAGTGAGCCCTGCAGATTCCTCCGTGGCCCCCAGCACTGACTCAGCGGAGGAGTCACTTGCTGGCCCACTACGTTGTAGGTCTGCCCGCTGGTCAGCCCGCGTTTTGGGTAAAGGTGCCTGCTATGCGTGGTCCCCACTAGGCGATCCCATATGCTTATTCAGCCACGGTTAAGTCCCCCCCCCCTGGGCGGACCCGTGTCTTCCCTCCCCGCTAACCACTCTTTTGCTATGCGTACTCCCCCTTTTTAGGGCTAGTCCATATGTAAATTCTGCCATCTATCCCCCCTTGGGTAACGGATGGCCTCCGCAGCGTCCTCCCTATCGGGATTGCACGCTTCCCAACGTACTGTCGTATTTTCCTAGAATTATCTAGATGCTCACGACTTCCCAAAAAATATATATAAATCCGTAAAACTTCTGTTGAAGTAGGATAAATTAGGGCCAGGGACACGTTGGAGGACCGCGCCCCCCATGATGTGGGTGCGTCACGCTTGCTTGACTATCTCCTCATCGGGGGTGTTGGTAAGGTGCAGTCATGATGGCGCTTTCAATGGGCTCCCAATGCGTGGATTTTACAATCAAATCCACTTATAGTGCTGAAGTTCCCCCCGAAGGGGGACGTTCGAGGTTACTAAAGTAACCCTTGTTCCCCGAAGAGGGGAACGGAAGCACTATACTCCGTCGCCATGAATGACTGTCCCTTAGCTGTTGAAAGTCTCTTCAGCTTAAAAAGGATAGCGTCTGCTGCGCCAGGTGAGCTTATATACTCAGTTGATTGCTTATGCCGCTCACCTGCGCAGGCTTGCGCTGCCAATTCATTCTTAATTGGCCCGTTCAATACTCTTTCAGACGAGTAGCTTCTGAACCGAACCTCCCAATGCGTTTACAATCAAATCCACTTATAGTGCTTCCGTTCCCCTCTTCGGGGAACGAAGGGTTACTTTAGTAACCTCGAACGTTTTCTGACCACACTTCATTATTATTGTTCATTTATTCCTCTGCCGGAGATTAGAACTGAATTATTGTGCTTAACAAAGGAAATTAAATATGTGGGCTAATGGAGTAAAGAGCAAAGAGAAAGTAAAGAGGCTGAATGGAGGAGGCTCGTTCTTTATCCTTGCGCTGCAGATGCTCTGTTTAACGGTTTTCTCACTAGTGAAGCGTTCAGTTTTTACACTCATACCAAAGTCCACCATGAAAATAGCAGATGCACCATGGAGCAACACAACTGACTCTCAAAGGGAATTAGAGATGTGACTCTGATTAGTTTAATGCAGGTTGTGCTCAAAACACAACCAGAACTCTAAAAGAGAATAAGCACAACCCTTTTAGACCATGCGTCATGGCACAGAGCGTATTCATCTGTCCTCAAAATAGCAAAAGTGGATTCAGACACGCCCTTATATGCGCTATTCACTTTAGACTTTGCGCCTAGATCATTAAAATAAAGCCCATGGTCTCATGTCCACTTCGTCAAACGCTTATTCGAGAAAAGTTTGTCTAATCAACCTCACTTTGCTCCCTTTTGTCTGCATGATCTGGTTTGACCTTCATAAAAATCAGAAGATTACGAAGAAGCAGGTTTTTTTAAAAGAAACACTGAAATGCAAGGAATGGTCTATGTTGATGATGGAAGATGATGTTGGTCATCTTGACAAAAACCAGCCCTTGCAGTTTAAAAGTTAATAGCATAAACATGAGAGAAATTATGAACAGGTGGTGGCGCTAATGAGATTCCAAATATGCCCTGGTTAATGATCAGATTCTCCTCTAACTGTGTGCCAAATGTCAAGAAGAAAGATTACAGCGGGGGCCTATACTCCTATGGTGACTGACCCCCATTTTGTGCAACAAATTAATACGTTTGCAAGTATACGAATGCATAAAGCAGACATTAATGAAAATAACTGACCTCTGACCTTGAATTTGCCAGAACAAAACTACCACATATTCTGGTATTTTACATTTCCTAATATAGTGCTGGAGGATTGCATGCATCTAAGCTCAAAAAACATTGAATATTGTTGGCATAAATATGTGTTTTAAACAAATTAAAATGATCTCGATGATGTTTGCATAAATCAGAGGCTTAAAGTCTCTAAGCCCCTCCCCCTTCCATAAGCCAGCTCTGCTCTGATTGGTCAGTCTGGTCTATCTGTCTAAAATGAAACACTCACTTCAGTGTTTGCAGGTCCCTGAAGGCGGGGATTATGCAAATGGTCTACTTTGAATATGTTGATGATGATTGGTCAAAATATTTGAAAACATGGAGACTTTTTAATGCGACTCAGAGCTGTCTTTCAAATAATACTGTCATTATGATGCAGACTGTTTATACTAAAGAACAACTGAAGGATGAGAAATATTTCTGAAAAACCCACATGACCTGCTTCTATAACATAGTCTGATGTAATGCAGACTTCTTCTGCTTATTTGGGACGTCTCGTTCAGTTTTGGTACAGAGGACAACAGGAGTACACAGACAGGAGCGCAGATGGTGGACACTTGCCCTTTGACCTCGGCTAGTACCTTGAGTGTCTTGCGAAGGGTGAATATTTCAGCGCCGAGCGTGGTGTTCTCATGGATCACTCTCTCCTTCTGCTCACGCTCATTATCAGCATGTGTCAGAGCCTGGGTCAGTTCACTGTCAAACCTGCACACACACACACACACACACACACACACACACACACACACACACACACACACACACACACACACGCACACGCACACACGCCAAATGCATATTCAGTCAGAGGCGAGTGAGGTGTTGAATATTAATGAGCTGTATGCAGATGAGATTATGATTAAGTAAGGTTTAGGATATTGCATTGTGTAATACAGTCTTTCATGCAGCAAGCATCGGATAATGATACTTTACTTTGTCACCAAAAGCCTGTTTCATAGGTTTAGGCTGCTTTCACACCTGTAGATCGATTATTTTGTACCAAAACAGGGATTAAAAATGCTACAATGTTTATTTTTGTTCTTGATGTGGTTCACTTTCACACAGCAAAGTTTCTAAACCACCCAAACCAGTTCATGTGCATGAGTAAACTCTCCTCACACTGGTCAAAGTTTCAAGGTTTATTTTTTTATTGGGATTCTGCTCAGCTGTCATACTTTGTTGTTTTAATTTATGGTGATGAGTAGGTCCACACGGGCGCAGAATTCCGCAGATTTTTAGTCCGCCATTGATTCTGTTTATTTACTAGTGTAAATGTGTGTAAAATTACATTTATTCAATTTTAAAATGTATTTTAGTAATTTTATTAACTAATAAAAAATATTTAAATGATTTATTTACAATATAGTTTGCACAATAATATTTTCTGTCTTTTAGTAGATATATGTATTATATGAGAGACTTGCTTTGTTTACCAAATAAGTTGATCTAATTGGATTTGCATTGTAAACATTAAATACAAGTTTAAAAGGTATTACTTTTCATTTCATATAATAAAGTGTTAGTTTTGAAAATCATTCCACATAAATCTGCAGAAATTAACCAAAATTCTCTGCAGAAATAGCAAAAGAACGTCCGCAGATTTGGTCTGGCCCTAATGATGAGCAATAAGACATTATAAGTGAAAAAGGTACACTTTAATTTTAAATAGTGACACCCACAAACGATGTCACCAAATATAAGGTCCGACTTTCTCATACCAGACTCATTTCAGTTGTCAAGTTGTCAATCTATTGCCCGTCATGTGTTGTAACATTTAATTAGTTATTTTAAAATAAGAATAAGACTAGGCTTGTGCATTAATATGGTAATATGGTAAACCCTGGGATCTAAAAATAGCAACGGTGTCAGATCCAATACCGTTATAAAAACAATGCACTTATATAGGAGACAAGGATTAAATATTAAATATTGATTATTTAATGCTTAAAAATGCGTGTGCGTGAATGTCATCATGGGACAGTGCAGAAGAGAGAAAGAGAGGTGAGGGAAGATAGTGAGTCGCGCACCAAGTGACCTGCTCTCGAATAACCTCTGCAGTTTGGCAGTATTTCGTGTTTGACCGAACGAGGAGACATGGTAAATACGAACTAGAGGTCTGCATTCCTGTGGCTGTACCGCTGGACCCGACCATATTTCTTGCAGTGCAGGAATAAATTTCCGAATAAATCGAGCGAGCGAGCACGAGCGCTTCCGCGTTGATGCTGTTTATGTGTGTGTGTGTGAATGAGAGAGAGCATGGTGCTGTGTGTCCCTTGTTTGGTTGTGTGTGTGTGTGTGTATGAGAATGAGAGAGAGTGTGGTGCTGTGTGTCTATGTGTGTGTGTGTTTATACAGACAGAGCTCAGATCTCTAATACCAACAAGACGATTTGCAAATTGTGCAACAAACAGTTGACCGCGAACCTAAGGTCGCATATACAGTGTTGTAAAATGTGCGTGTCCTTTAAGGGGTGGGGCTGCAGTGTTTTGTGTGTGTGTGAAGCGAAGAGAGAGAGACTGAAAAGAGGAGCGGTTTTTCGCAATGGGACTGTTTTTAGTGATGTTCACTCTTTGGAGACTGATTTTGTTGTACCACACGGAGAGTGATAAACGATTGGACCAAGTCTGAGCCTTGCATCATAAATGTTTTTATTATGCACAGTAATACCGTATACCGAGGTAAAATAGGGAGGATTGACAGTATCAAAATTTGGATACCGCCTAAGCCTAAATAAGACACTTAATAACTTTGTTTTCATTATTAATTTCATTTTCATTTCATTTCATTTTCTTGTCGGCTTAGTTCCTTTATTAATCCGGGGTCGCCCCAGCGGAATGAACCGCCAACTTATCCAGCAAGTTTTTACGCAGCAGATGCCCTTCCAGCCGCAACCCATCTCTGGGAAACATCCACACACACATTCACACACTACGGACAATTTAGCCTACCCAGTTCCCCTGTACTGCATGTCTTTGGACTGTGGGGGAAGCCGGAGCACCCGGAGGAAACCCACAAGAATGCAGGGAGAACATGCAAACTCCACAAAGAAACGCCAACTGAGCCGAGGCTCGAACCAGTGACCCAGCTGTAAGGCGACAGCACTACCTACTGTGCCACTGCATCGCCCATTTTTAATTTTGAGCAAAAAATTTGGCTAGAATTCTGAAACGCAGGTATGCTGATGAAGTAAAGCTGAAGTGAATCGCTGTAATTCATGTTAAAAACATGTTAAACTTGTGAAACTCACTCTTGATCACATTTGATGACGATTGATGATCCTAGCGAACTGAACAGACCTTTTATTCCCGGTTGCATTGCGCTCGTCTTCTCTTGTTGACATGATTATACACGTGACTACCGGGACATGCTACGCAGCTGTCAATTAATATTGGTGGGCGGGGAACCACACTCCTACATCAAGTTGCGGTCGGTCTGAAAACCACTCCAATTGGTCCACCGTTTTGATGTTGTTAAATTGAAAAAAAAAAGGACTGGGTGTGTTTATATCACCCTAATATGACCGCCTATACACTATACCAACACATATGTCTGTCCAAACAGCTTGAAAAGTAGATTTTTCACCATAGGTGCCCTTTAAGCATTTGGTAATTTAATCATTGAATATTTATTTATATTAATCATTAGTAATCATTTATTCATGGTAATCATACTAATATATATATATATATATATATATATATATATATATATATATATATATATATATATATATATATATATATATATATATATATATATATATATATATATATATATATATATATATATATATATATATATATATATATATATATATATATATATATATATATATATATATATATATATATATATATATATATATATATATATATATATATATA